TGCAAACGTCAGAGGAGAGTGGACTGCGGCGGCGGTGTGCTGACGTCGGCGTGCGTTATGACATTGGTGAGCCTTAAGAGCCCGCAATCGAGCCGACGGATGTTCACCGGACGGTTATTTTATAAACGGCGTTTTCAGGACGGCCGGTCCTGCACTGAGTATGAAATTGCAAACCGGTTTAGTAATTTGTTTAATCCGTTCCCGGAAAAATCAACTTAAAACGGACTGCGATTCGACCTTGATTTATCTGCACTACATGCAAATATTATTATACGAACATAAAGCAAAATTAACAACGTATTCTATTAATTCAATAACATCGCATTATACTGAACCGAAATATAATTATAATACCTAATGTAAAATATACACAAGTATGAATACCGGGGAATTTCAGACGCGTAAATCAATACAAATCGTTTTTTTATAGACGCGAGTGGTATTCGGATCCGGACGAGTCGATTTATCCTAAAAACAATAATCAAACTACGTTAAAGTTAGTTTTAAAATAAAAAAAATACATTTAAGTGACCGAATAATATCTAAAGTTAAGTTGAAAATTATTCTAAAAAAAAAAAAAAACGTGTTAATTACACACTCTGGCATTCGTAAACGTATTTTATACATTGCACGCATCAAACGAAAAATTACTAGCCAGACAAGGCTCGTGCGGGTATCCCATTACGTTGGTTATACGACGTGATCATGGGATATTCATATTTTACGTAAAAGTGTGTAATTTGCGTCGAGAATAAATACGTAAAACACAGATACGCAATATCCATAGAGACCTTGGTGTCGAATTTACAAGTGTTTATCCGGTGTGTAATGGAAAAATTGTAAAAAAAAAAACTCGACAACCGCGTAAATTTAAAATAGGTTTAAATAACTCAAAGGAGACCGGAACATTGTCGAACGTCGCACCGTGTCTGCAGAGAGTTCTGACATATGTGTTTAGTGAACATTTCAGGTGTCCGCGTTTATTTTTCGTCAAATTTCAAGTTGAAAAACAAACGCAATTGAAATTAATAAGAACCCGTACGATTGCGGGGAAATGTACAATTCCGTTTTCCGACGTTGTGTTCCGTTATTGTTAAAAAAAAAAAAAAAAATGTACATGGCACATCGAAACATCGAAACCTTTGCGCGGTGCGTCCACTGCGACAATACGGAATTCGCCACCCCCGAAGCCGTTCCGGGAGTCGACGTGTTGGGACGAGACGTCCGGTCGAACATTTGTCCGCGGACCCGGGAGAGCGTATACACCGCGCACAAAACCGATGCGGCCACGGCGTTTCTCGCTTCGCTCGCAGTCTTATAGTGCGGGTACGGAACCGCAGCGGACGAATTGAACGCGTGCGGCGGTTAAATGGGCAGGCGAACATTTTCGGGCCGGCGCCGAATTTTCCCGAAAACCGAACGGGACTACCGGCCGACCGACCGACCGGACCCGACCGGACTCGCGGGAAACCCGGGGCGTCGGAAATTCCGAAACGTTTTTTCGCCCCGCGGACATCGCGCAGACAACCGCGTGCGGAAATGAAACGCAGCACTTCCGAAAAAACAAAAAAACAAAAAATGAAACCGTTCGACGCGAATGCCGCCTCGCTCCGGCGGCGATAACGAACGGAAACCGTGCTGGGACACGCGGCACGTTTAAAGGACTCGTTGTTCCGATAAAACCATGTCGGGTTTTCGAAGTCGCTTGCCATTTGATGTGTCGCCGTAGCCCGCCATCTCTTCTCCCGAATCTCGAAGACGTTTCGCGCCGTGCGCGGAAAAAAAAAAAGGACTGTGGGGGCGGGGGACTCGGCGGTCGTCCCCTCCGCCGTTTCGACCGCCGCACCGCGCCGTACACCGTGAACGTGCGCGGTCCCTACGCCCTCGCTCGGCCGCGGTCCTCGGCGAGCACCGCGGCGACGCGTTTCCGACGCTGTCGTTTCGAACGCAATTACTATTACTGTACGACGACGACGCGCGCCGTTATCGCGTACATCGGTCCGCGCGTTAATCTATTACCCGTTCTGTTGCCGACCGCCATAAATTATTCGGGTTGTTATTTTTATTTTTATTTTTTTTTTATTACGTATAGCGCGCCTTAAAATGTTTATTACGACACGACGTCGTATGCTGCACGGAGTTTTGAGTTTCGATCACGCGATATTTTTTTTTTTTTTTTTATATATATCGGAATATTTTCGCGGTTAAAAACAGCGTGCGCGTACAACGCACAAACTGTACACGCACATCGACCCATAATACGCATATATTATCATCGCGCGTACGAATTTGATAAAACGACGTTTAGTTAACAAAAAAATAAAAATAAAAAAATGTACAGGATTGATCGACCGAGTGTGCTCACCCCGTTTTTTTTTTTTGGTTAAATATAGGTGTAGTCAAAGCCGATATTTTCAAATGCATAGGTTTTTCACAACAATTAAGGAGTGCGATACCTACTTTGGTTTTTAAAATGAGTACCTGTGTTTGAAATTCCATTACCAGATGGAGGATTGCTTTAAATACATTTAGGTGTCAACATTTTCGATTACCGTCAACCCGTTAACGAGATATTCCACATTTAATTTTAGGTAGTTTGGTAGTAAATGGCGTGAACACGCTTAGCGAACCACCCAGTATAAAAAAAAAAAAAATACGCGTTACGGAACACATGATAATTTTCATCGCAGTCGAATTTTAAAAGAGTACTCGTATAATAAGCGCATGCATTATAGGTATGGATAACATTATGCATATTGTACAACGATACATTGAAAAAAAAAAAAAAAAACCGCGCTATAAGAAAACAACAAGTTTTTTGGCATAATTTATGTTTACGGCGTTAATATTTATAATAACGACGTCGGTAAATTACTCGTATGTCGATCCACGCGCTCAAGAAAGAAAAACTGCGCTGGGCAGGACACACAATGACGAAAAGTCACAATTCTCTATTAAAAACTGTGTTGAACAGAACCCGGTAGGGAAAAGGCCTTTGGGAAGTTCAAGATTTAGATGGAAGGATACAGTTGGAGAAGGGCATGGCAGCATTAGGAGGCAGATTAAGTTGGGAGGATCTGGCAATGAATATGGATGGTTGGAGAATTGGTTGTGAGACGACATGGTTCTAGTGGTTGAATAACCTCCCCCCACAAAAAAAAAAAAACAACAATACAGTCGTAATTGGTTAACTCGGATTCGAAGAGACCGGAAAAAAGTTCGAGTTATCCTTGGATATCGCTGATCCTAATAAAGTTTGAACTTCCAGTTATTCTCGGAATACTCGGATTAAACGCGATTTTTTTTTACATTGTTTGTATAGGAAATTCTGGGGACCGTGGAAAAAGTTCGAGATGTCAATGGTTTCGAGTTAAAAAAGTCCGGGTAAAAAAAGTTCTCATTATAACGTGACCGACTTGCGCGATACATATAGGAATAGGGTGTTGGTAATTTAGTTTGTATACTGAAGGCAACGGATGAATCATCGCGTTTAAAAAATGATTCTGAGCGGAGCTCCGTAAACTATGATAATAGTACGGTTTTAACGGTAAAACCAATAGGTATAATCATAAGAATAAGGCGAGTATAAAACCGACGTGTATCGTCTCATATAATTTTGTGTTGTCCGATTCGTTTATTTTTTTTTTTCTAAACTGGACGAAAACTGTCTCAAATAAAACGCCAAGGGGAAAAAATCGTTTTGCTTAATGGTACGACGCGGGTTACTAATCGACAGAGCGTTTCTCGAGGGGATAAAGAAATGCATGACAAAATCGTCGGAGTATTTTACGTTCACCAAAAAGGAAGTGGGAAAAAACCGTCTCAGTCAAATCGTAATTTAGAATATAAAATTAAAACTGTAATTTGCGCAAAAGTAATTTACTGTATAATTTTATCTGTCTACCTATAGAACACTCGATTTTGGCCCTAGGCCTTAGACTTATAACTCATAAACCTGGTGCTCGAATATTGTAGTGAATGGTAACTATTAAAGAATAGAGATGAAGTAGATAAAAAATTAAAATGTTTACATTTGTTTTGTGCACCAGGAACTCGAAATATGAGGTTTTTATAATACAATTTTTCGCACATTAGATATTTGAATTATTTTAGATTTTTAGTGCTGCGTTTTAATAAAATGCAGAAGAAAACGATTTATTTTGTAATTTTCATAAATTTCGTTTGTATTGAATGAAAAATAGTAGACGGAATCTGTCATTAGAAACAATAAGAAAATTATCCACATTTTCGTATCATTTAACATTTATGACTTCATATACCGGGTCGTATTTATATATTTTTGCTTTTTTTCATAGTTTTATAGCATATCATAGCGTTTTATTATGTTTTGTTAAACCGTGACTTTTTTTTTTTTTATATAATTTTACGTGTGGGTAAATTTGATAAAATGTCGGTGAAATTATTTTTACTCTTGCGTATCATAGTGTACAAAATATTAACTTACTTGTTCGCCATACTCCATGGGTGCGAACAAATGATGTGATCAATTCACAACTATTATTGACAACTGCAGAAATTAAAAAAAAAAAAAAAACGAGACAAAAGTACTGAAATTTTCGTTAATAGTCAATAGTCAATTTTTCGAATCATTTGTGAATAACTTGGAAAAAATGCGCGTGCGGAAAATTCGTAATTAAAATAAGAATATTAGGCATTTTGAAGAAATTCCCTTGACACGGTGTTTAAAAGCGAGATGCTGTGTCGTTATTAACGAGATAACGTATTGTTCGCACTCTTTGCAAACGGCGACCGGCTTCGTTAAGAGACCTAATACCCGTCGGCCGGTTACACGAGGCGCGTGCTTTGACGGATAACCCGATTGCATTCGGTTACGGTGTTTTGAAAATGAGTCGTTTCGGCGATTTTGGTGCTGTTACCCACGCTTCGGTTACGGGTTACCGAAATGTATCGCGTCCAAACGGAATGAACGGTTTACGGTGTTTGGTCGTCGGTAAAGTAACGATTAGATATTTATGACCAGTAGCGGCACTCTCGTTCATTATCAATTGACGTTATTTGTGACGGCAACAAACGTGTCGTTTTTGCGAACCTGTAACCCTGTCAACCGAAATCATAAAACGCCGGTAGCGAATGTAAACCGGGACTGTCGCCAAAACACACCGCCTTATCGTTGACCACCGTGTTTCGTAATAACGTATTTCGTACGTCTGTGTACGCAACAATAATAACAATGACAATAATATCTGCGCGTACGACCGGTCCGCGGCACGCGCGCGACGGGACAACACGAAAAATAACCACCGGCGCGATCCCGGCGCGGTGTTTTCCGACGCGTGCGCCGAGATCGCGTCGCGCGGAGGCGGCGCGTTATTGGTGTACGGCGATTTCTGGAAGTGGCACCGGTCGTGCGGCCTCGGCGCTCCGAGGACCGGTCCGGCCGGCCGGGGGGCCCCCGCCGCCTGGCCGTCCCCCGGCCCGGCGCAACATGGCGACTGGTCCGGGCCGGCCGTCCAATAGCCGCCGCGTTCCGGCCGCCCGCGATGGGGGTGGGGGGGGGCGGCGGCGGGAAGGCGTCGCCGCGTCGGTTACGTTGTCGTTTTCGACGCGGCGCCCGGCGTGCGGCGCGGTGCGGTGCGCGCCCGCTCCCGTTCGTACGCGTCGTTCGTGTTGCGCGCCGCGCGATATCGAGACCGCGCGCGCCGTTCTATCCGGGTCTCAAGGTATCGCGTCGTTAATGATCTACTGACGATATTACACACTGTGAAATGTATCGAATACATGCGTAATGTATTATTATTTTGTTATTGTTATTGCCGTCATCGTCGTTGTACGCGTCACGGACGATCTTGGCCACTGCCGCCGCGCGGGAAGGTCAACGGGCGCCGACGTCGTTTCGGTACATGTTTTCTTCTTCCGATTTGTCACGACGGGAATGAAAAATAAAAAATATAAACAAATTACAGTGACGCGGAAAGGCCGGCGAACTATCCGTAACAGGGTCAAGCGGGCCAAGATTGTAATAGCGAAAAATACCAGTTTATTACGTTTTCTAAAGAAAAAAAAAAAAAAATTGAAATTTTTGTTTGGTTAATACGTTAGAAAACCGGTTTGAACACATTGTTGCATGTTCGCCACACCGAAATACATCTAAAACGTCATTATGTCACTAAAACTATGACGTACATGATCGTTGTTCCAATTTACCCCTATTCAAAATTACCTCATTTATTAACTCTTTTTTAACAAAATAATAAAACCGATTTCGGGCGTTTATTCGAGAATACGCAAATACGCTTCTGGAGATATCTTCATAGGCTGACGTGTTATATATAATATTCACGGTACATACTTGTACATTGTGATAAAAAAAAAAAAAAAAAAAACCGATTCTGAGAGGTAGCTCTGTAAACTGCTGGAAAATTTACACATCTGCAATGAGGTTCCCGACCTTTTTGACATTATGCGGACCATTTAGAGGACTTACAGCAGGCTGCGGACCACTTGCCGGCGACCTTTTCTTTTTTATTTTGTCATTTTTCGATTGGAGTACGATGTTCGGTAGAAAACAATTAGCAAAAATTAAAATATAAGTGCCTATTACAGGATTGAAAGAGGACATTATTTCGGACGGCAAGGTGATGATTCGTTTCTTTTTTAAAAATAGTTTTTCGAAATCTTACAGCTATTTAAAAACGATGAGTCTTTATTTCTGTATATACGCTGTGCTAACCGTTGTATTTAAAACAATAGTTCGAATAGTAGGAAAATCGCATCGTCTCGTCCTCCGGAATATCGTCCTCGTTTGATTTTATAACAATAGATGATTTTACTCTAAAATCGAAATTAAGCGAGTTCATCTAGAAAACATTTCCTTTCAGAAAAAGTGCTATACTTGGATATTTGAGTAAGCTTCCTGTTAGAAAGTGTTCACATAAAAAAAAAAAATAATAAAAAAAACAATTTTGTAATTTTTGTAAAACCAATACATTCTTCTAAACTAAGAATCTAAAAAAATAATTTTGCAAAATTGAATTGACTTTTTATGTTAGATAATTTATCAATAATTTTTTGGTGCAATAAATATATTTATATTGTAATTGTAAATATAACGATGCGATAATGAATTTTCACATACCTTACAAATTTTAACGAATTGATTGCAAATAAAAAAAACGGTCAATGGGGGAGGGGTTCAAACCCCATAAGTCCTTCCTCCTTGAGCACGCCCATACTCAGGTTAAAAATGGTTAAAAATGTGTTCGTGTTTTTTAATTTTGTATAGAAAATAAATTTTAAAAGTGCAATTTTTTTTCAAAATTCGATTAAAAAAAATAATATAAGTATAATAAAATAAAATATAAATATAATAAAAGTATAATATATTCAACCATGATATTCTTGTTGAGACATTTATTTTTGGTTTAGCAGCAAGTTTTTGCAGCACACTTTTTTTTATTTATATTCTTTTCGAATTATTTCGAGATAAAAGATTCGTCAACTATGAACCCCGATGAACTCCCGTTTTTTTTTTATTGGTTTGGATTTATCGCCAAGAGTATTTTCATGACCACGGTCTGTTATTTGCGTCTTGAATTTTATTTTGGTCTGTTTATGTCAATAACTTTAAATATTTACTTATACTCATGAAACCTTATTCGGCCGGGAGCCGTTTGGAAATTGACTTATTTATGAATGGATAATCAATGGACGGGAGCCGTTTGGGGGTTACACCGAATAAAATACCCATATATTTAAACATAAATCCGTTCCCTACAATATATATATACGTATAAATAAATGTTCTGGCTATAAATGCTGAACATTATTGGATAATGTCGACTTTTTGTCCATTAAAATCGATTTTGTGTTGTTAGTTTCAAACCCAGATAGTGAATCGGCCTATTATCAAACTTAACGATAAAAATAATTTTTGTGTTTGTGCGTCGTTTTTTTTAATATTTAGTAAGACGTGAATAATAGCGCGTGAATTATTAAAGTTTAATCAAATTCTGTATCTCGCTTAAAAACTAAAATATCGGGAAATAAACCAACGTACAAACGCGGAAATTTTTCTTATATCTTCAAGTATGATAACGGGTCAATTCGCTCTATAACATTAAAACTGTAACTGCGCAAAATCTGTTCCGCCAAACTAAACGAGGACATCATCCGATTTTCTACATTAACCGGGTGATTCATTTACGTGGGTACTCATTATCTCGGATAGTAATAACTTTTTCCGGAATATGTTTTCTAGAACATTTAAGAAACAAGCTGGTCCACAATTTTGTATTTGTGTTCTTTTTGGCACCCTAATTTTCGGTGGTAAAAAAACTACATACTTTTGATTTTCAAATGCAACCTATATTAAAATGTCCATAAATACATTGAGTATTAGTTAAAACAAATTTTAGTGTTGACATTTTTTTTAGTTGATCCGTTGACGAGATTTTCCACTTCTAAGTTTGGGTTGAAGGAGAGTAGTGGTGTATCATTAGTATCATTAGGCGGTACGGCGCGCGGCGTGTTCATAATGCACCACCACTCTCCTCCATCCTAAAATTAAAAGTAGTATATCTCGAAAATTTGCCCCCGAAAATTAGGGTGAAAAAAAAAAAACACGGCTATAAAATTGTGGAGTAGTTTGTTTCTCAATTGTTCTAAAAAACAAATTCCGGAAAAATTCAATACTTTCCGGGATAATGAGTGTACCCACTTAAATGAATCACCTGGTATATAAATACGTGTTCGCGGGAGTTGTTATTTTCATTTTTTTTTTTTAATCGTGCGATATGAAGGCGGCGGGGATGGCGGGCCGAGGTCACCGTGCGCGCGAGACTCGTCGCTGTACGGTCGCTGGCGCGTCTACCCCGGCGGCGCGGTGGCAGTGGCGGCGGTGGCGGCGGGCGGCGTGGTCGTTGAACCTTTGCGGTGTGACGGGGACGCGCGGGCGTCATCGTGCTGCTACGCCGCAGGATACGTTGAACTTGTGCCGCGGCGGAGGGCATGCGCCGTGAAAATACTGCACGAAATGATCGTAATAATAATGATAATAATCGTAATAATAATAACGACGACGATGACGAAGGCGACTGTGGAAGAAAATGGTAAAAAAAAAAAAATAAAATATAAAACTGATTTGTCCGTGAAAATTAACCGCCGAGACGAGACGCAACATGGCCGCGAAACGGAAAATGATATGGTCTCTCGGCGGCGGCGCGTCGAAAACGGCTGTGCCCGTACAAAACATAGGTATTACACGTTATGTTACGTGCATATAGGTATTCGGGTGTTTTTTTTTTTTTAAATTTTTTCTATATGGGGGTTTTTCTCCTAAGAGATCGGGGGGTAAGAGGGGGGGGGGAGAAACGACAACCTAACCGATTTTCTTCACACGCAATATTCTGCCGTCGCGGTTCGTCACTTATAATAACGATCTCGCGAATCGTTATTATACTTCCGAAAATAACAATAACGAGCACGTATATCGTATTATATTGATATATATTGTTGTATTGCGGTAAAGAAAAAAAAAACAAAAAAAAAAAATCAAATATAAATTATATCGTATAATTCGGTATTTTTAATGGCTTTATGTGAAAATATCCGGATTGACCCCTAAACTTCTATACAAAGAACTTTGTTTTGTTCGCTATCCAGCGATTACGTCTTCGGCGATTTCGAGTCATACCGATATTGCAGTATGCATTTGTTTTCAGTTATCAAAACGTGTATATAAAATTATAATAATATAATATAATATTACCCGGCGTTGGTGCCTTTTTTTTTTTTTTTAACTATTTCGCTGAAATCGTAAACAATTTGATTGTAATCGTGAAAAATATTCATAAGATATTTTGGAATTTATTATATATTGTAATCGACTCAACTGTATAATTGATTCGATTTCGAAAACCTCGGAACGGGCATAAGCTCGTAGGCATTGCAAAAGAAAAAAACTGAGCTGACATTGGGGACGAGTGCGGCCGATATTATAGGCGGGTAGTGGGGAAGACGGGATACATCAAATTGTTTGATTTATACCCATGACCAAAGATACGACCGTTACGAACGAAAAACGATTTGGAGCGAAGTTCGGTTAAACACGTTTTGAAATACCGTAATATTTACGATTTTCGTCAAAATACGATTTTAAAACTCTTATAAAAAAAAAAAAATTACTATATTACATTCAATTTTTTTTTTTTTACAACCAAGTACCTATGACTCATAATAAACCGATATATCCCTAAAACCTATAATCTCTATATGTCACTATTCAGTATGGAG